ATTTTTAAACCTAACTTGGAACGTTTACTTTTATTCATTTATTTGTTTGACCTTGCCTCATTCAGCAGGGGGGCACGCATTTGTTACCAGGAGCAGTAATTTGCATGCATGTAATTCATATAGTAAGATCCCTAAAAATATGATAACATCTGTAGGTTAGGCATGGAAGTCTATTTTTTTTTTCCCCGTATTGTTAGGAATGAATTCTCCCTTCAGGAATGCAGGCAAGTCAGTGAAATCAAAGTCAATAAAGCAGACAAGCAAGTTTATCACTATGCTCGCTAATAGAGTGGGCCTCGAGGTACTGTCAGAAGGCCCTGAATATTCAGTGAAAGTTCCTTTCTGATGGGGATTGCAAGGGGTTTTTAGGAGAGGTATTGCTATGCAAACAAGTATTGATTGACTGACTGGCAATGATGTAAGCTAACTACTATTGTGCATGCCCTTTCCCAGAATTCTCTCTGATTGCCCACCAGGGGAGCAAAGCTGCAATGCAGATTTATTACGATGACTTTAAAATGAGGAAAAGTTACTTTAGGGCACCTCAGGAGCATGCCCAGTTGGACCCTAGCTTTTGGAATGTCTCCTCCTGCCAGGGATTTTTTTACTGGTGGATGCTATCTGTAGTCTCAACTTCTCTATGGTCACCCCAACCTTTCCTCCTGCTTCTCTCTGGCTCCCTGCTTAACAATATCATATACTGAAAAAATTTTTGAACATGTTTTATTTTATTTTAACCTTTTGACTCAGTTCATCCATTTCTCCCAACTTCCACCCCCTGCCTCTGGCAATCAATCACCACTCTGTTCTATGTATCTATGAGCTTGTTCTGTTGTTGTTTTTGTGTTTTCTGTGTTTTGTTTTGTTTTCAGATTCTGCATATAAGAGAAGTCATATGGTATTTGTTTTCCTCTGCCTTGGTTATTACACTTAGCATAATACTCTGAAGATCTATCCATGTAATTGCAAATGGCAAGATTGCATTCTTTCTTACAGCTGAATCATATTCCATTATATGCTCATACACCACATCTTCTTTATCCATTCATCCACTGATGGATATTTCAGTTGCTTACATATCTTGCCTATTGTAAATAATGCTGTAATGAATGTAATATGGGTACATTATATCTTTTCAAATAGTGTTCTTTTCTTTCCTTTGGGTAAATACCCACAGTGCGATTGCTGGATAATACAGTAGTTCTATTTTAATTTCTTGAGAATCTGCCATGCTGTTTTCTTTAGCGGTTGCACGAATTTTACATTCCCACCAACAGCACACAGAGACCTCCCTTCTCTCGTCACCGACACTTGTGATTTTTTGTCTTTTTGATTATAGCCGTTCTAACAAGCAAGAAGACATCTCCCTGTGGTTTTGATTTTGCATTTTCCTGATGATCAATGGTGTTGAGCATCTTTTCACCTAACTATATAAATAATCTATATTAACATACATAAAACATAGCTCAATTCATATAATTTGGACTCAGTAAATATAATTCTAATTCTGGGAATCTGTTTTTAAAATTATAAAATACATGGACAAATATTTATAAATAATTGTGTTTATAAAGCCCTACTTATAACAGTGATAGTTAAATCATGGTATGTTCCTATGATGTTTACTTTATATAATCATTAAAATTATGAGTTTAATTTTTAATGCCAGGAAAATTTCTCGTAATAGTGGACAAATAGGATATATTTCATATAATTGATATAATAATTATAGCATACTTATAAACACATTACATCAACTTCTTTTCCATTTAATCCTTGCAATAGCTCTGTGGGGTGTATGATGTTGTTTCGCCATTTCTAGATAAGAAAATGGAAGCACAGAGAAGTAATGTGCCTAAGTCACCTCTTGGTAAGTGGTGGAGATATAATAGGATCCAGGCAGTCTGGCGTCCTCCTCTGAGACTGGGCCATTTACTGTAAGGCTGGGATGGAAATTATGCAAGGAACAAAATATGTAAAAATAAGGGACATGAAGGAAGTGCAGTAGAGCATTAGCTATGATTGATTCAGGAATGTGTACAGGTTCAAATTTTAAGAACATTCAGAACATAAAATAAAATAAAAAATGAATAATACCATACTTGGCTATAGTTCTTTATGGTTTTTGAAGCACTTTCATATTATTTATATAATTTGATTATTGTAATTAGGGTGACTTCTTATGTATTATCCAAACCATGACATTTTTAATTGCATAAGAGAGTGCTGTTCATATTTATACCAGGAACACAGTTGTAAACTTGAACTATCCAAATAAACTGAGATAAACTCACTTAAAACAACCCTGTGCGGCTGAGTGCTTAGATAGCTTTATTCTGTAATAGAACCAAATAAAAGTACTTGAAATACTTGATTAAATCATATAATGAAAAAAAAGTCATTTTTCTGAAAATAGAAGAAAAGACAAAAAGATTGTCTTGACTTCATCCATTGTTTTTGTGACTAAAATAAAGCAAAACCAAACAAAAAAAAAAACCCACTGATGACAATTCCCTCAAAGTGGAAGCATTTGAACTATACAGTCCTGGGAGACTTAAAATCTAAAGGATTATACAAAAGTCCTTATTTGGTTTAAAATTTTATGCTACCGGAATCTCAGAAACTTCATAATATTCTCAGCAGCCTGAATTTTACAAAAAAACAGATACCTAATATTTGGAATTATAGAAATTTATGGATTAATATGCTGTCAGTCCACATGGTGCTAAAGAGCAGCTGACAGAGAATGTAACTAGACAGGTATGTTTTGATGAGTAAATGCTTAATAAAATTATTTTATAAACGTACTCATGGAGAATGATGGTATGTTAAACAGGCCATATTTTGTGTCAGTAATTTGGTTAGAAAGTTGAAAAACTTACTGATCAATGGTGAAGGTGTCATTAGTCAGGTGACAATGTTTGCCCCTGCTTTGACTGGTAGAATCATACGTCTGAAAAATCCAGCTGTTTAGCCAATGGTGGGAAACAAAAAGGAAATAAAATCTAAGGGAACGAATGTATAATAGGTATTAATTATAGACCAGGCACAGAGAAGTGGCAGTCACTGTAAAATAACCATCTGCAGATGTGTCTTATTTAGCCAACAGAGTGCTGTTTTCATGATTTTGAATTTTAAACACTTTCACTAGGTCAGCAGGCATTCTCGGTTTTCTATCCCCTCTGCCTTTCCCCACCCAGGTCCCCGGCAAGATCTCTAGGAACACTGGTTGGGAACTTCAAAAAAGTGCCTGCTTGGGGAATTTGCAGCCCTCAGGCACACACCCTCACTTGCTGTTCTGCCAGGATATTTTGTGCTATTTAAAAACTGCATACCCTTTCCTGGAAATTCTTAGCTACTAATTTAACATTCTTCCACTTTACAAGTTGATGTTACCCATCTGACCCTTGAAGGCCTCCCATTATTGACCCTGAATTATAATTAGACTCTCTCTTTATGGCATCTGGTTGTCATAGTCTAAAGTAAAAAATTGCAATTGGCCAGTAGGTAATTTACTTTGGAAATAATGCTGAATCAGTATTTTTTTCTCACTGTATTTTTTTATTTTGTTGACACAAACTTGAGGAATATATAGTTTTAATGGTAAGAAGAAAATTAACTCAATAGGAGAAAATATGGCAAGAGATTTGTTTAGACATCACCAGAAAACATTTACATTGAGTCTCTGGTAGAGATATATACATTCTTAAAAATACATATTAGTGTTTACACTTATGTAGAACCACTAGGAGGACCTATATATCTATTCTTATGAGGACCAGAAATTACTAATATTTCTATGCATGTGCTTCTGCAATTTACAAGGAGATAGATGTCTTCAGAGGTTATCAGGAAAGCTATACAAATGAACTAAGGTATCAAAAGAGTAATTTTGATAAAATACAAAGAAAACACAAGGATCATAATACTGAATTTGGATGAGGTTATGCTGATGAGACCCTTGTTAGCCTATGTAGGTGGACCAGGATAAGTATTACCTGCTAAATACATGTGACTTGAGTAAGGATTTTATTTATATGTAGAGCCTTATTTGATACAGTGATAATTGGTAGTTTTCCTCTCCGTTGAGTAAAGCAGGTTGGGTGATTGGCTGAGGATTATGGGAGACAGATTTTGCTGTCGAGGACTCCAGGCTTGAAACGGTGGGGAAAAGAGCGACTGGTTCTGCGTCTGCTGCCTCTGTTCTCCTTTGTGGTAACCAGTGTTACACAAACGTGCGATGGTGCAACGGTGTATGTAGATAGCCCGACCTACACTTACATGCGCCTCCCAGAGGCGGTCTGTGTCATCCCCCAGGCTGTCTTCAGTGGGTATAATGTGTTCGAACAGAGTATATGGACTAATCTATTAAACGGTATTATTTAAGGAACATATTAAATAGAATACAGGTGGAACGGGTTATCAGATGAGATTGTGCTGTAATCATCTTTCCTCAGAATATATTTTAAAACTTGCATAAGTGTATTTTTAAAAGCTCCATAGTTAATTCTGGGTATGATTTTGCCTTTCTGGGGGTCAGTGCCTCTACTGTCAGGTTCACCTATTACTTTTCCCCTGGATCTCCAGGTTTTGCTCTGTCTTTTAGCTTTGTCCATATAATATGGCATATTCTCTTTGTAAAGAGAGGATGAGATCGAACCATTAAACCGTAAAAGATATGTGCTATTAATGAGTTTCTAGCCAGCTAGCGAGGTCTCATCAAATGGGTTTATCTTGGTAAATGAAGGTTTGAATGGAAAATTAAGCTTCCACCCTGACTGTTGAAGTGCAGGGGATCATTTTGGTCTTCAGTATCACACTTCACTGGACACACTTCACAGAGCAGTGAATCATGCTTAAAACAAGCAGCCTTCACTTTAACGGGAACAGATAATGCAGCAGCGGCGAATAATAAGTGTTCGCCGTCTCAACTCTCCCTTGCAGTTCTCTCTCCCAGGTGCCCGATGAACAATTTACAAAGTGCATATCCTGTTTTATAGATTGGAACTTGGGATCCAGCCAGTGGCCTGAATATGACAGAAAGTCAAAAGGGAAAGCCAGCCAACATCACAGATTCCTTATCCAATCGTTCTTTGATCATTACCACCATTTTGGTAAGTGTTTATTTTTCCAATCTTTTTAGATTAATGTAGATAAAGATGGAGGCAGATAGAAGTGGACATTATAATTGAAATGGTAATGAACAGAGTGTATTGCACTTTACAGTCATTGCACAATTACTGTGTAACAGAGGAGTTCATGTTACTTAAGTCATTGTTTTATTTTGTTAGTCTTCAGTGATGTAAATTATAGTAATGTTTGGGCTGCTTATGATGTTTAATAATATAGCTTTAGGTATTACTGGAACTCTGTACATTTCTATAAAATAAGTTACTATTGAATAATTGTCAATGTTAAGACATGGAGCTGTATGAAATATAGTTACTGAAGAGCTGCATGTGAATTTTAGTTCTGCACTCATCTCCTGCAAGTATATTTTAGAGTGCAGACCATTTATTTTTCAGGATTGTTTTCTATTACAATTATGTCTTAACCTTGTTTTTGATTGTTTTTATGATAGAGATTCACTTTTACTTTACCAGTCTCCCTAATTAAATCAAATGGCAAGTGCTTTTTTAAGCCAGAAATATTTCTTCACCAACGTCATTAAATTCATACTGATAAGCTAGGTATTTTTACCCCTCTTGTAATGATATATTTTAATTAGATCACACAGTAATATTGACTTATGCCTACTATGCCATTTGCAAATGGGAATTTTAATTTTAGGATAAACAAGGAGCTCTTCTATTATTTAGTTAATACTTTCTACCTACGGACTAAGCTTATTAATGCTAGTTCTTAGGTCTCTCCAGCTCATTAATAAGATTGAAAGATTAATGTCCAGCATAAATCACCACATACTTTTATCATTTATATAATTTATAGGTTTGATTTATGGTAGCACATCAAGTCAGGAAGAATTCATAATCTTGTCCATTTAGTAACAACAGGGGATGTTGGACCTCTAAGCCTGTCAAAATAAAATAGCTTGGGTCAGACTTGGTAATGAAGCAGACCTGGTGATCATTAAATAACATGACGGCAGTTCTCAAGGCTTTTTGATTATTCCCTTGCTAAGAGCATCAGGGAGTACTTTTTCCCGGTCTGTCATATCCGGACTTCCTAGATCCTCTTTTACTTAATTTTATGTTCCTCTCCCTTTTCAAAAATAACTCTCATACCCACCAATCCACAGCTCTTTCCTTACTTGGAATATTCTCATCGGATGCCTACATACTCTTTTTCCTCCAGTGTGTCCTGGATAGCAGTGTCTCCCGCCAGGACTGTTGCAGTGACCACGTAACTGTTCCTCCCACTGACAGCTCTCCCTTTGCAGTCCACCCCACTCTGCACTAAATGGCCCAATTCTCTCATTTCCCTGCTTTTCTGCTTAGAAATAATCAGGGAATCCATATCCACTATTAAAAAGATACCCAAATTCCAACGCTGATGCTCAAAACCTTCCACAGCCTTGTCTTTCTGCCTTCATTTCCCATTATTCTCTCAGGAACCCTATGTTTTAAATGGAACTGGGATAACCAGTTAGCATACTACTGTGATTATGTTAGGACTTTCCCCTTTGTTTGCAAAACATTTTTTTCCATTTTCTAAATAATTATAGCATTTTCAGTGTGTTATATTATTTAGAATTAACTATGTTTTAGTTACTTCATATTTGTAATATTTCTCCAAATATCACTGCACATTCTTGGAGGAATGGGGTCCAACTGCAGTTTTGACCTGTGTATGTCTCTGTAATGCTCAAAAAGAACACTGTACAGGGGACAGCTGTAGTCTTCAGCAGTCGGCCTCCGCACTCCTTCCTCTGTTCTCCTGATGCAGCCCAGCTCCCAGATACATCACGTATGGTATGGCTCCAAACCTTTGCTCAGTTTTCTACATTCCCCTGGTAAATCCTACTCCTCCTTGCACACCCATCTCAAATGGCACCTACTGTATGAAACTACTCGAGACAATACTTGGTAAAGCCACATGGTCAGGAGGGTAAACAATATTTTATTTACAAGTATGTTTCCATTTTTCATTATTAATGGTCTCTCCATTAAGTTGTGTGTATGTGTAAGTGGGAGAGTGTAGATTTTATGTATCGTAATACTCTATCATGGGCCTACCAGGCACAGTTATTTTAAATTTAAAAAGATACGTGTATATCTGTGTCTCCATTTGATATGAATTTATACAAGATCAGTGATCAAATTTTACACTTTTTTTTTATCTCTCTCTGTCAGAGAAAAGTGCCTGGGCATACCAAGCTCTCAGTAAATATTTGTTAAATAAAATTGATGATGATATTTAATTAAATGGAAAGTTAGAAGATAGAAGCAACTTTCAAATGACTATACTTAAATACTTTTCAATTCTGCAGATCATTGCAAATTGCTTATGCAAACAAAACAGGTGACTAATATTACACATATAATGTCTCAATCTTGCTTCATCTCTCAGCATTGCTTTGTAAGAAGTAGGCAGATATTTTTCTCAGTCATAGCAATTTTGTATCTAGCAATAAGCAAGTGGTATTTAACCTTAACTTCATACAGAGCCAGGCAAAATGCTTTTTTAGAAAGTACTGCTACTCAAACCACACTCCATACCTTTGGAAATAGTATTTATGGGCATTGAGCCTTGGACGCCCTCATTTCCTTAAGTTGCACAGGTAATGCTGATCTATAACAACGACTGAGAGCTACTGCTTAGGACACTCCAGGTAACTAAGATGTGGAATCAACTGAGAAACAGACACTAAGCCTGCATTTTAATAAATAGTTTCTATATGTTTTAGATTACATCACTCTGCTGGTTCTAAGAGATTATGGTATTTATTAAAAGAAAAATCACTTTGTTTTTTATCACTTAGTTGGAAAAAATTATTTTTCTGAATACTTTGATCACAAAGTATCCACAATCAAGAAAAAAACAGATTTTAAGGGATTATTTACCTTCCTTGTGTAAGCCTTATGCTGAATGCAATTTATTGGTGTTTAATTTATATTTCATAAGGTGCTTACAATCATTTGATTTATGTGATGGTCATTGCAGCTTTTTCTTTCTTGGAAAATCTCAAGAGGATATTCTGGCTGCACTGAGAATAATGGCAGAGAAATTCACCTATACTTCTTGTTCAACATTTTTATTATGTGTCTTTAAAAAAACAGTGAGGTAATTTAGAATTCGACATTATCAGTGTGCTAATCACAATCAGCTCCATCTCTCTTAACTTTTAATTATCTTCATTCATCCATTTGTTTCTTTAAAAAATATGTACTGAATGCTGATTATATGGCACAAAAAGCTAAATTTGATGAACAAAATAGTCAGTCTCTGCCCTCATGCTTACAAAATGATAAGGATTCATAGGGGAAATCACACACACACACATACCCCTGGTGATTGGTATGAAATGTAAGTGGGATGATGCCTTTTACAGATGATCATAAGTTACTGGAGTCAGGAGTGGAAGGACAAGTCAGGTTAGGTCTCACTGTAGAAGAATCGACAGCTGAGACCCGAATCTCGCGAAGGAATCAGACAGGTAAAGAAAGGAGAAAGGAGTATTCAGCAGAGAGAACAGCATATGCCAGGGCTTTAAAGCAGGAAAAATCTTAGAAAAATTGAAAAACTGAAAAAGACTATGACAGCGGGGGCTGGTCCTCTGGTCTGCTCTCAGCTTCAACAAATTGACTATAGGATGTGGTCCAATACAGAAAAATAACAGCAGATGTGTATTGCATGCCTACTATATATGCTAGATAATGTCCAAAGCACCTCTCGTGTATTTACTCATTTGTCATAATAGTGTTTTGAAGGAAATGCCATTATTAATTCTATTTTTACAAGTGAGAAAGTTGAAGTTCAGATTGCCTGAGTAACAGATTGCCTGTGTTCTCACGGTCACACAGCTAGAAAGTGGAGTGTGATGCTGATTTGAGCGTGTCTCCAAACATCTAGACATCCCCCTCTACAGAAGCCAAGAACAGATTATTCTTATTTGGATGTCTTGGGCTCTACATTTCTCTCCTCTCTTAATTTAGCATTCAGCTTTCTTTCAGCCTCTTTAAACCATAGTCTCAGATTTTTCTGGGCAATCCAAAAAGCATTGGGGCTTATCTCCTTTTTTCTCTTTAGAATTAAGATTAAGCATCTTGTCTACAAATATCTTTTGTTCCCAGTCAACAATACAACCTATGCCTAATGTACTGTGTGGATGTAGTTTATAGTTATATTATGGAATGAATTCATTTAGAAAACCCTAAATATTCTTCTAATTTTTGTTTTCTAGTTTTGAGTTAAGATTCATGATATCATACAATCGGGACATTTATGTACCTTTACTAGCAGGTGTAGACCTAAAGCTCAGTTCTACTCCTGTTCTCCTCTTCAATATTCCTTATATTACCTCTCTGGTTGAATTTCAGGTTCAATTGTCATTAACATCCCCTTGAGTCTTATGTTTATCATTATTAGCCGGACTAAAAAATATCAACCATAGAATCATGTTTTCATTTATGATGATTTCATTTATTGCACAGAGATGATTAAAGTATAAATGTCTAACCAACAACAATAACAAAAATACTCAATCCGAATGAGATCTGGAGATCTTTCCAAGAATAATGCATGCTCTTCAACTTTTAATCTGAGCCTGTTGTCCTTACTGCTCGGGACCCACTAGTTAGGGACAGTATCAGGAGACTGAATATTTCTTAAATTCGTATAGAGAATGCCTATTTCCCTACTGTGTTTTTGCTTTGCAATAGATTTTTTCAGACCTGTCTACATATGTTGAGTGCTTCCTACTGGGCTGCTCCTGTATGGTAACTGATTTTTTTCCATCAAAAGATTCCTAGCACTAACATGCCACTTGCACATGTTCTTCTCCCTGATCGCTAGGAGTGCCTTAGCATACAAATGAATATGAACTGGGCTACTTTTTCAGACAAATAATTTACTTTGAAGGAAATTCTGTCTTCCTGGTCAATGAATTTAAGAAATATCCTTGCATCTACAACATAGTCTTCTTTTTTTATTT